ACTATGAACAAATTCCTATGCATACTACACATATCTTATTTTTAACTAAAAAAACAAAACGGGAACAAATACAATATTTGTATTTGCATGTGGCCTGCGGGCCATAGTTTGAGGACCCCTGTGGTAGTTAAAGGAGTGGCAGAAGTTTCTCTGAGCCTGCAGGGTTTCAACTGCCTTCAGCTCAAAATAATCCACATGCCAAAGCAGCACATCTTGGAAGGCCTGTTCTGAAGCCTTCAGCCTCATCAAGTCCTCTCACATATTGGTAACATTCTCTGTTCTCAATTGATGCAAAGATTTTCTTGCTAAACAAAAGCTCTTCCCTCCACTCTTTGGAAGCAGACCGTTAAATAACACAATAACATCTAAGACCAGTTTTGTAAGAATTTTGGGGGATGTTTTGGGAAACTTAGAAAGAAAAACTTCACAGAAATTTCAAGTTAACAAAAGACTTCAAATTTCAGAAATGCTCTGGGGTGGGAGGGGGTTGGGGGAAATGTCTCAAATCTCTATGGAACAAAAACAATAACAAAAGGCCAATATGTGGTGAAGTGGCAGATGAAATGAAAGCCGATTCAAAGGCCTCTGATTGCGTCCTGCAGGAAGACCACCCAAAATGACAGCAAGAAAAGCTTCAATTCCTGGTTCATGTGCAGCTTTCTCTATTGCAAAACAGAGTTAGCACAACTGCACTGCCATTTCCCCATGCTCTCTCCTTACAGAGTGTGGCTGCTCCAGCGCTAAAGCCAAGCTTTCTAGTAATTCCCCTTCACTAAACTGAGTTGGGTGTTAAGTAGTGGGAAGCAAATCCTACAGTATTGACAATAATATTTAAGTTAAGTGAAAAATCATCTTGAAAAGTTACATACAAATGAATTGGATTATAATGCTTTAATTGTCTACAGAAACCCAGGTTCCTTATAATAGAAAGAATAACAAAGACTTCGATGCATTTCCTTTCTTTGTGCTGGAAATGTAGACTATGTGAAAACTGTCGTCACTGAGGTGAACATATCAAATACTAGGAGACATTGGATCCCCAAATCTCAACTTGGTAGAAAGTGATTTTTTAAAATATCAAATTGGTCATGAGCAAATAACATGGAATTTTCATTTATAGTGTATTTTATGTTTGTTTATTCAACAACGTGCCAGGCAGGAGAAAATAAGCCAACAAAGAAAGACATGGCCCCCCTGCCTCATTGGTTTCAGAGTATAGTGTTTTAATCCAAGTTAAAACTATACCTTGATTTAAAAATGGGATCAATCAGCCATACAAAAGAATGAAATCTTACCATTTGCGAGAGTATTATGCTAAGTGAAATAAGTCAGACAAAGACACATACCATATGAATTCACTTATATGTGGAATCTAAAGAACAAAATAAACAAACCAAATAGAAATAGACTCATAGTTGCAGAGAACAGACTGACATTTGCCAAAGGGGAAGGAATTGGGTGAAAAAAAAGTGAAGGGATAAAGAAGTACAAATTGATAGTTACAAAATAGTCATGAGGATGCAAAGCACAGCATAGGGAATATCATCAATAACATTGTAATTACTGTGTATGGTGCCAGGTGGGTACTGGAAATATCTAGGGGAATATTTCGTATGCATATGATTGTCTAGCAACTATGCTCTTACAAAATAATATTGAATGTAAACTGTAATTGAAAGATAACATTTAAATTAAAAAATGGAGTCAATTATGCACTTAGTTCATATAATAAGACCTCTTAACTGTTGTGTGACTACTCTACTAACTAGTCTTGGATCTTGGTTCAGTTGCTGAACTTAGGAGCCTTACGTTCCTTAGGTGGTAAGTAAATGGATTTAGTTACATGAATTTTTTTTTTTTTGCTTTCACACTCTAAATTTTTATTGTGTTTTTTCATGCATCACCTCCATCTTGGTCTGTTTGGGCTGCTATAACAAAATAACAAAAACTGGGTGGCTTGTAGACAAGAAAAATTTCTTTCTTAGAGTTCTGGAGGCTGGAAGTCTGAGATTAGGTACCAGCATGGTTGGTGAAGACCCTCCTCTGGGTTGCAGACTTCTTGTTGAATCCTCACCTGGACGAAGGGGTAAGAGTTCTTTGGGAATTCTTCTACAAGGGTATTTATCCCATTAATGAGGGCTTCACCTTCATAACCTAATCACTCCCCTAATTCCCCATCACCTATAGGCATTAGTTTTTTGGGGGCATAAACATTCAGAGTGTAGAAACCTCTCCAATCTTGAGGATCATCTGCAATGAGAGAGGCAGAGAATGCAAAAAAGGGAATAGCTAGAGAAATGCCAAGGAAGGTGAAAAACCTCATCTTCAGACTTGGGTTTAGTGTCTGAGTGCTCACGTGACAGGAGACAACAAGCATAGGACAACATGGGGACAGGGTTGCTGGTTGCTAGCATAGTGACCTAAACAAGTTATTTCATGCCTCTGAGCCCTGGTTTTCTTAACTAAAGCTGGAACAGAACCTGACACATCCATAGGTTGTTTAGCAGAAAATAAAATCTTTTTGGCTAAATTTTATTCTGTAATAAAAAGAATTAGGCAATACACAATCATCTATATATGGCAATTTTTCCAAGACTATCAAATTCTCCATATGTCAGTTTGCACCTTGTTTGGGACACAAGGTTTCTTTATAACTAACCCCTGAATGTACCACATCCACGTCTCTCAGCAGGTTGGGGCTGCGCTTACCTCTGGACTAGAGCTGAAGAATCAGGGTCTTCTAATTATGGCCATTTTTACCAAGCAACTTGAGAAGTAGGGAATTGGTCCTGCTTTGGATATTTCCTAATACTTTTTTATAGTTCATCTACAAAACAAAAACAATGTCATCTTTTCTTTTAAAAAAAATATGTTTTTGATTTTTTTAATATATACCAGAGGCCCGGTGCATGAAATTCATGCACTTGGGGCGGGGGGGCGGTTTCCCTCAGCCCGGCCTGCACCTTCTTGCAGTCTGGGAGCCCTCAGGGGATGTCGGACTGACAGCTTAGGCAGAGAGTGGGCTTAAGCCATCAGTTGGACATCCTTAGCACTGCTGCAGAGGCAGGAGAGGCTCTTGCCACCGCCACTGCACTTGCCAGCCATGAGCCTGGCTTCTGGCTGAGCAGTGCTCTCCCTGTGGGAGCACACTGACAAACAGGGGGCAGCTCCTGCATTGAGTGTCTGCCCTCTGGTGGTCAGTGTGCATCATAGCAACCGGTTGTTCTGCTGTTTGGTCAATTTGCATATTAGCCTTTTATTATATAGGATATATATATTAGAGGCCTGGTGCATGAAATTCGTAAACTGGGGGGGGGGGGCAGTGTCCTTCAGCCCAGCCTGCACCCTCTCCAATCAGGGACCCCTCGAGGGATGTCCAACTGCCCGTGCAATTGGGCCTAAACAGGTAGTCGGACATCCCTCTCATAATCCAGGACTGCTGGCTCCCAACCGCTCGCCTGCCTGCCTACCTGATCACCCCTAACCGCTCCTCTGCCAGCTTGATTGATGCCTAACTGTTCCCCTGCCTGCCCGATGCCCTCAACTGCCCTCCCCTACCAGCCCAATCGCCCCCAACTGCCCTCCCCTGCAGGCCTGGTCCTCCCGCAACTGCCCTCCCCTGCAGGCCTGGTTCCCCAAAATGGCCTGCCCTGCAGGCCTGGTCACCCCTAACTGCCCTCCCTTACTGGCCCAGTCACACCTAACTGCCCTCCCCTGCAGGCCTGGTCCCTTCCAACTGCCCTCCCCTGCAGGCCTGGTTGCCCCCCAACTGCCCTCTCCTGCTGGCCATCTTGTGGTGGCCATTTTGTGTGTTGGAGTGAGATGGTCAATTTGCATACTGGTCATGACTAATTAGTATATCCAGGCTAATTAGCATATTTTTCTTTTAATATCTACACTAATAAAAGACAAAGATACTAATTGACCATACCTTTGCTATGCCCACCAGCCAATCAGAAGAGTATGCAAATTAACCCAACAAAGATGGCAGTTAATTTGCATACACAGGTGTCCAGCGAAGACTAAAGACAGAATAGAAGGAAGCCAAGCACTGCAGAAGGGAGCCAAGCAGCGGAGAAGGGAATGGATCGGAGGTAGCAGAGATGGCAGTGGAGCTGAGGCAGCGGACACGGGAGGGAGTGAAGTGGTGAAGAAGGGAGGGAGCTGAGGCGGCGGAGACGGGAGGGAGCCGAGGTGGCGGAGACAGGAGGGAGCGAGGCGGCAGGGAAGGGAGGGAGCCGAGGTGGCAGGGAAGGGAGTGAAGCCCGCCTCGCTCCAGCCTCAGGAAGCCCTATTCTTGCAGGAATCTTCCTGCAACGGGCCTCTAGTGTGTGTGTGTGTGTGTGTGTGTGTGTGTGTGTGTGTGTGTATTGATTTCAGAGAGGAAGGGAGAGGGAGAGAGAAACATCAAAGATGAGAGAGAATCATTAACTGGCTGCCTCCTCCACACCCCCTACTGGGGATCGAGCCCACAACCTGGGTATGTGCCCTGACCAGGAATCGAACCCTGACCTCCTGGTTCATAGATTGATGCTCAACCACTGAGCCACGCTGGCCGGGCTAATTTATTAATCTTTTAGAGAGGCGGGGAGAGGAGGATGAACAGAGAGAGAGAGAGAGAGAGAGAGGGAGAGAGAGAGAGAAACATTACTTGGCTCACAGCCCAACTGGGGATCGAGCCCACAACCTGGGCATGTGCCCTAACCAGGGATTGAACTGGCAACCTTTCAGTGAATGGTGCATGGGACAATATTCAACTAACTGAGCCATACCAGCCAGGACCATGTCATCTTTTCTGAACATGGAAAATCTAATGACATCAGCAACCCTTATTATTACTAAACTATTAAAAATTAATAATTCTTATTATACATTAGCCACATTCTGTCTCCATTTGACTCTCAATCTCCACCTTTTAAAAATTATCTCCTAGTTCTGCTAAAACCCAAGAGAGTATAAGTTTTGTTGCTGTGGAAGACTGAAAAAAGGCTTAAACAACATATTTGTTATCAATGCTTTATTGTTGAAAACAAAATTGAAATTCTCTGGCACATAAAACAATTATTTCTACAAAAGGAAAGCCTACAAATCTTGATAATTTATACAAATAACAGCTTCTCAAAAAATAAAATTTTAATTTAGTAAACTTGTCTTGTGCTCTATATTTTTAGCACTGTCTGCAATAATCCACCATAAATCCCTGAGCGGAGACTTTTTTGACCATGTTCTATTATGCCCCCCTGTTGCCCTCCCCCCAAGTTGGTCTAAGCCCAGCCCTGTAATAGAAGGTGTCAGGGACATTTTGTTATTAAAGATCCATGCATTTTATGACACAGGCCCAATTATTAATGCTACTTGGGAACTGGGTCAACATGAAGTGCCTCTACTGTGCAATCAGCAAACCTATTAAGAACCAAGTGTTTTGAAAGGAAGAACAATAACAATAAAAAGACATAAAGTGTTAAAACTAGGAAATCATCATAGGTCAATATTTAAATAAATAAAAATGTTAGACATTGAATTCATTTCTATATCCTTATATTAAATTCCTTTTGTAGTATTTATTTGTTTGCAATTGCCAATGCAGTAGAAGATGAAAAATACACTTCAACCCCTATTTTTGGTTTGACCACGGGTTTGTTGTTGTTAAATGTTAAATATCATTCTGAGAACACAGTGATTTAGTTATAATTTAACTTTTGGCCCCTCAGTGAAATGTTTACAAAATACTATACATGGTAGGAGGGCCTTCTTATTAATGCCATCACCAAATCTCTCTCACTACATTTGCCCTTCTTACAAAAACACTAATGCCATAGGAACACTACTTCAGATTCTTTATCCCACTGTATTCAGATATGCAGAAAAACATATAAAATATGGAGAAAACATAGTATGATGTATTTGCATGTGCAGCTTCCCTTTAATGAGGATGCTGACCATATATACATGGAGCATGAGTGTAAAGGAGAAAAGGCTAATTTTCAGTTGCAAGGAATTGGCTTGATGAATCAAGTTTTGTTTGTTATTCTGCTATTATAGAATAATAAATAAATAAATATGTACAGTATTGTGTTTCTACTTTATGAAGAAGCTAATAGTGGGCTATTGTTTTCACAAAGTTAACTTTTAGTAGCAAAGTCTGACTGCAAGTCAAAAAAATGTTCAACAAATGTTCTTCTCTACATCTTTTATACTCCTTTACTTGTGAAATGAATGTTGAAGTGGTTACAAATAGGTAATGAAACAAAATACCAAATTTGCTAGTGAGAAATGGTTTTCAACTGTAAAAAGCACTTGGCAGAAAACCTAGAAACACGCAGGCTAATGCTACACTCTACTGCAGCTTAAAATAAGAAGTCATTTTTATGTTTTTTTTGGGGGGGAAGAGCAAAATATGAAAAATACGATAAAAACAATTCCTTAAAACCGTATCAGCATTACTGTTCTGGTACCTATTAGAAAGATATTAGCATTTCATAATAACATTTCCCAAATATAAAGTCATTGGTAACCATCATTATACACTCCTTCGAGCAGCCTTGTTTTTTTAACCAGTAACATCTGGAAAGCACAAAGCACCTTCCCTATGTCTAATGGCTGCTGGTTAGTTATTGGAGCTAGAACACCTTTAAGCTTTCTTTTGTTATAATCCTTATATAAGCATGTGCATTAACCAGGAATAGCCATTTAAAAAGGCAATTTCAAAAGCCTAAGAATTAACACAATGAATTCTCCTAGGCAGTTTTTTCTTTCTTTCTTTCTTTTTTTTTTTTTTTTTTGTGTGTGGGGGGATAAATATTGGCGACTTTAAAGTAAAAAATGCCTGCCTGACAAGTATGAGGCCTCCCTGGCCCCTCCTACAATACCAGAGTGAAATGGGGGTTTCGCTACGCTGCATATCCTTTTCAGATCATGAAAAGCAAATGATTCCCAAGAAAGTGAAGACTGACATCCAAATCATAACGCGGCATGTGCACTAGTCAGGAAACAAGTGTAGACTCTCACAGGTCCTGACATCGTATTAAAAAAAAAAAAAGGAGTTTTCTAAGTTGCAGAATTTTGATGAGCAGGCTGTCTCAGAGAGGGAAGGCAGCAGGGTCAGGATGACCACCGGCTCCCTGGGGTTCACACTACACGTTAATCTCTCCTATGCACACTTGACCTTCATAGTTTACCGTGGCTGAATGGACACTCTGGCTTCCTCTCACAGTGTTTAGGAAACAATATAATTTCTCAGTTAGCTTTCAAAAATGCACAAATTTTGGAAGTTAGACGCCGTCCCTCATTCAGAAGGCCAAGAGATCCTCCTTTGTTAAGTGCTCTGGTTTAGTTCTGTGGGTAACAATTACATCCTTCAGGAGGTTTCCAATGCCCCCCCCCCCCCGTTTTTGGTGTTAAAGGCTGTGCCAACAGCTAAGCGGATATTCCCAGAAGAGGCAGTGACCTCGGTGACCTCTGCCCTGGCCTTGAAGTCCAAACCAGCTCTTGTCCTAGCCCCGCTGGGAAGTCCTGTTGGTTAAGGAAGCCAGCTTGAGAATGTGGAGGAGGAAGAGGCGCTGCCCCTGTGTCAGGTCTTGGAAGTCTTTAAGCCTTGCTTTTCCATGATGTTCCAGAGTTTGCGGAGATTGGACTGCGTGATGACGTCGTCCGGCTTGAGCTGCAGCGCCCGCAGGTAGTTGGCCTCGGCCTTGTGCAGCCGGCCGTTCAGGTGCAGGATGGCTCCCAGGTTCATCAGCGCAGCCGGATACTAGGGCCAGAGAGAGGAAGGAAACCGATTAAGAGGCCATCGCAAGCTTTCCTTCGAGGAAGACAAAAACCTTCATCCACTTATGCAAATGATTCCCTTATGTCTGGAGGCATTTTATGGAAGCAATTTAGCAATTTATACAAACAGACAAAGATAACTAGGAAGGAGGGGGAAAAAAGTTTCCAAACAGCCGCTGTGTACTTTGTACCTTTTTAAAAAGGGCAGGCAGCTAGAGAAATAGTTTTCGTCTTTAATGAGAAAGAATGGGTTACATATGAAAACCTAGCAACCTAGTCAGGTGGTACCACTCTGAGAAAAAAGTGATACAATTTCAGATGGACAGAATTAAACTTTTGGTCAACTCAACACCAAGAAATACAATATTAAATGGGAAAAGTTGACAAATTTCTGTGTCCACCCACTTTTTAAAATTCTTTTTAAAAAATTTATCTTTATTGTTGAAAGTATTACAGATAGCCCCTTTGTTTTTTTTCCCATTGACCCCCTCCACCCCCCACCTTTGTTCCCTCTCCTTAGCAATATTTCACACCATTTATAAAAACATGAATAAGTAAAATATACTGTAAAGTTTTACTGATGTTTTCAGGGTAAACTATCCTGGAAAAAAAAAATCAAATGAAACCACTACAGTTCTTTCCAAATCTAGCTCAAGTAATTTAATGAGACAACGTCTTTACTTTTAAGTCAGTTTTTAACCTTCTAATGGTAAGTGTTTACTCTAAATACAGTTAATTAAAAACACCTAATAATAGATAAAATATGGTACCTTTATAAGAGAAGTTTTATGCTATTTGTTTAAAAATAATTTGCAAACAGATTTTTCTGTAATGTGTGGTAATTGTAATACAAAGTTATCATGTGAAAGGCAAACTTTAAAAAAAAAGTATGTTATGTAGCACTAGTTTAATACAGGGTTTCCATCCCCAAATTCTCAGACATTAGTTAATAACAACACTCCTTCCCAAAGGAAAAAACATTTTGCTTGCTATCAATGAATAAGGGCTGTACTGCTCTTGTCTTGTCCCTGGAACTTTCTGGCTTGCAGAGTAGCTAATATTTTGGCAGTTACATAAACGCATATTTCAAATATCAGATAAAACTAAAAGTGTTTATGCTAAGATTATATTTTCATTTTTCAGATGATGTCAACTCTTAATTGTCTTGGCAAATCTGATACCGCCTAAAATAATTCACAATTATTTCTATGATTTAACATTTTCACAATGCATGCATTTTTCAGCTGAATTCATATGACTCTACTCTTTACTGTAAAAACGATTATTTCTGAACCAAAGCAATGCTGGGGAGAGGGGTGAATAGCTCAGAATAAACCAACTGGGGAAAAAGGATCAGATTTGGATTGTCAGAGATGTGGATTTGAGTTCTTGCTCAGCCACTGCTATGACCTTGGTGAAGTCTCCTAATATATCTGTGTCTCGGTTCTTTCATTTATGAAATATTGAAATAATATCAACTTTCTGCACATTGTTAGAAAGATAAGAGAAAATAAACAAATGTAGCACAGTACATGCACATTGTAGATACTCTACAAATGTCAAATTTAGTTTTCCTGGCTCACTGTGCTTGAGATATAGCAAATGCATGTTTGTGATATTTATGTTGCTATACAAACTTTCCAATTTTTATTTCAATGGCTACATAATATGTGTCTGGATGTATACCAAAATTCTCTTAAAGTCCTCAACTACTGGGCATTATTCTCCAACTTTTCAACATCCTTTCCAAAAAGAATGTTGCAAATATAAGCTATTACTAACCTTCGAAAACCTTTTAGTCTGGATGACTCCACACTTATCAAGAAAAATACAGATGGTCAATATCTAATTTTAACCACCACTCCAAATAAACCCAGCTCCAAATTACATGTGCAGTGACTATCTCCTCATTGGAAACCTAAAATAACACCACCTACTCTGTCTTCCTAAGAGAACTGTGTTGTCATACCACCACTATTATCTTGCGTTTGATGCTTGAACACATTTCTGAATGATGTCCCCTCACAGAGCTTAGCATCACAACCAATAAACAGCTACTAAACTGATGGTGAAGTGTGTTCACAGTCTGAATTACTAGAGATGCTAAATAGATGAAGTGTTCCTACTTCCTGCGGAGGAAGCGAGGAAATGGGGAGGGAAAACCAGGGTTGGAGACCATTCCTTACTTAACAGAAAGAGAAGAGGCCCAGTGGCTGGGCGGAGAGAAACCAGATGGCTCTATGGGATAGCTGTTACTTCTTGAATCACTTCATTACCAAAGTGTCTGTACCTAACTAGAATTCCAACTCAAGGGGATTTTTAAAAACACTCAGAGGTTACCAAATCCCACTGCCCAGGTGCCAATGATGGCTCCACCCAGAAATGTGTGCACTTGGACAAGTTGAGTAAGTATATAAGACCTCAGTTTCTTCTAGAAATGGGGTAACAGTGCTTGTTTCTTAGAGTTGTTGTTAAGAGTATATGAGAATACAGATTACTATCTCTTTCTTCCTCTTTTCTGTTTCCTTATCATCTCGAAAACACAAAGCGGAATCCCTTGTCAGTGTGCCTGAAGGACTCCTGATTCTAAACGCTGAGCATTTGTAAACGGGCTCTTCCTTTACTGGCTCTGTAGCTTTTCTTAGGTTAACCTGGAAAAGAAGGTTGTGAAAATAGGTGATGAAGTATACCAAGGCTTTGCTATTATTACTTAAATTGCAGCCTGAGTTCTTCTGTGCTTGGAATAGTTTGAGTCACCTCCCTACCTTCAAATTAGGGAGAAAAAAGTTAATATTATTACAAGAAAATACAATTAAGGAGTTAAATCTGTTATCAAAATGAGTCTGAATGCTAATTATATTGGTGTTTTGGAATAACTTTAATTTTGCATTTTCTACACTTAGCATGTTTCTCATTAAACAAAAATAATCAAAAATAGGCATTATGAAGTTCATGTGGAATAACAGATCTCATGGAAGCTTACATAATACTTATTGTGTCCCCTAAAGAATAAAAATCCAAGTAAACTAAAAATGTGCATATTAAGAAAATCATTCAATTTTTAAAAGACTTTTTATTGATTTTCAGAGATAGGGGGAGGGGGAGAAAGAAACATCTATGTGAGAGGGATACATTGATAGGCTGCCTCCTTTACACTCCCTACAAAAAACCCAGGCATGTGCACTGACCAGGAATCAAACTGGCAGCCCATTGGTGCACTAGATGACACCCAAACAACTGAGCCACATCAGCTAGGGCTCGTTCAATATTTTTAAGCAAAGATCTAATTATAAATAGATTACAATTTTCATAGGAAACATTGTGGTTTGAATGCATCTATTTTAATAGAGGAAGAAAGCTATTTTAAAAATCAATGCACATATATTATGTAATACTTATAGATTTTTATTTGCATAACTGGAAACTGATGAAATTGACATGCTGGTGTGCTCATATGTGACATACATATCCACTGCCTCAGGTAACTGCTTTGAAAGTGTCATTTGACATAATTTCAAGTGCTTGTTAAAAATTTATGACTCAAACTGGATATAGACTACTTTCTCCCTCTATGGTTGTTTTCTCTCTTCAGAGATGGGGTTTTTATCTTTTAAGCCCATCATATCTCCCTTCCACGGCAATCGCATGGGCAGCTTAGCGGATGCCCACTGGATTGCCTGCCTTCAGGTCATCCAGCCTTGCTACAAAAATGAGAGTTCAGGGAGGGGCATCAGCATCACCCAGGGGCTTAATAGAAATGAAGAATTTCAGGTGCCACCTACTGAGGAAGATTCTGAATTTTAACAAGATACCCAGGCGCTTTGTGCGCTCATTAAAAGTTGAGAAGCACTCGTCTAGAGGTCATTTCCAGATCCTCGATTATATCCTTTTTCAGCTTCTGAAACAAAGTTTTTTTTCTTAATAAGAGAATGAAGTTCCTATAGAACAAAACATGTCAGATCAAATGTCTAAACTCCCATAAAACAGAATTCTTCTCTTGCCCAAAAAATTATCTAAGGTAGTAAAAGTATTCAAATGGAGCTTTATTAACAGAGTAGTAAAGGACTAAATATTGTTGGACAGAAGAAGAAATTAAAAAAGCCTTTTCATAACCAAATAATAGCAAGTACGGTTTCTAAACAGACTTAAAGATTGCTTCACTGTATAACTGAAATGCAAGAAGTCCAGGTGACTGGCTGTCTGTTTACATATTGGGTGTCATTGCCATCTGCCAGCCACGAGTCATGGGCTGGAGAACAGAAACCCAACTGCAACGGCTGATGTCTTCCCTCACACACATCCTCTTTTATTAAAGACAGCCGATGAAATCTTCAGCATGTTAACAAAGGCAGTCAGCAGCTTGCAACCCAGTAACATGGGGCTTGTGGCTCCAGACAACAAATGACACCACCTCCTACTTCACAGACTAGAAAGAAGAACCAGACTTTCTTGTTTCCTTGAAGAGAACAGATGCTTTACATCAAAGGGGCTGACTGGCAGCCATGCTGAGGCAACAAGTGACGTCTTTTTTCAAGTCTCTAGGGAATTCCGCCTTTATTGTTAATTTACTGTGGTCTTTGGCTTATTTCTCCAGCATTGGAGGAAAATAGCAAAACTAAAATAATAGATGTGTACTGGGGTGTGGTGGAACAAAGGCAAGGTGAGAAAGGTCTGACACTAGACTAATTCCCTTGAGGCTCCTCAGGAGCCAGGCTGAGCTCACAGGGTCTTCTAAGCACACAGGACAGGAAGACAAAGTCATTTTCCTGGCCTTTGTATATTGTGTAGTCTTGGGAGCATATCTATGGAGCAGGAACAGTGAGACCAAAAGGAGATTTAGGATTGGGAATTCGTGCTCCTATTGGGAACAGGACTAAAATGCAGAGCTTTGAACAGAGTAGGTGGGGCCTAGAAAAAGGTAAACAAGGGCTTGTTGAAATATTCTGATTAGGCAAAACAGGGAAACCCAGGCAGTAACTGGCT